CTTTTTGTTACACACACACACGCACACACACACACACACACACACACACACACACACACACACACATACACATACACACACAGAGACACACGCACACACTATCCCCCAGGGCGGTGCCACTGACTGAAGTGTCTTTAGGCCATTCCCAAAGTGGGGACATTAGTACATGTTCTTATGCACAGTAGACTTATAAACTGTAAATGGGCTGATTCATCAATGTAATGTCACGCTCATAACTGTGCCTGAACTACAACAGGGAACTGCTGCTTTTTCTTTCCTAATCCTTACTATCGTCATCTTTCCTCTACTTCTTTTGTATGTTTGTCACACTCTTGTGACCCGCTATTTCCAGGTGCCTTGATAGTCGAAATAGACTTTGTGCTGTTGAAGCTAGAGAGGTGAGCAGAGTAAATCTGATTCCCTGTAACCACTGTAAGGACTTCTCTGTTGACGTCCACCCTTTGGAGCTCATATGACCTTATGCAGTTGCGAGCGCCGTAAAACCTCTACTAAAAACTAAACTAAATACTCTCTCACACACACACACACACACACAGGTTTTTTTCCCATTTCTAAATCTCCTTCATAAACTGTGTTATTCTACCTGATTCCCTGTAAGGACTTCTCTGTTGACATCCACCCCTTGGCGCTCATATGACCTTATGCAGTTGCGAGCGCCGTAAAACCTCTACTAAAAACTAAACTAAATGACCATGATTGTGTCAATATGCTTTTGTTCGCTGAAAAAATCAAAGAAGCAGACAAACAGCAGTAGTTCTTTCTCCCCCACAGTTGTGGCATATCTGGTCAGCCTGTTTCAGAACCATCAGCTTCTGGGGAAAGATGGCCTCCTTCCAGCCAACACCTACCTAGCAGACGTGAAGCGCCGTGTTCAGCTGTCCAGCCCATGGTCTCTCGTCTCCGCGGTGCCCACTTTGTTGTGGTTTGTTGACAACTCGCAGGACCTGAGCCACTGGTTCGATGTCATAGCTTGGGTCAGTGCTGGATGGGACAGTTATTTTTCTTCAGTGTCACTACTTGTGTCTTCTTTGGATTTTCGATAGGGTTTGTTGGTGGGTGCTGTGGTTTGATTTGCTTCTGTTACTCCATGCCAGTGTTCCTCAGGGATGTAGTTTTTCCGTTTTGTTTTGGGGGTCTTTTTCAGTTATTTTCACAAGCTAGCAATTATTATTCTGAGAATGTACTGTCTGTTGGACCTCATATAGCTGTGTCTATTAAGTGTCTTTTTATTTGAAAATACAACTTGGTAAATGTTCAGGTATATTCTCAAAATCCCATTTGCATCCCTGGTTCCTGTTGTCCTGCTCAGCTCCTCATAACATGAGTCCTATGTCCTGCTAACTCATTTGTTTTTCAGACGGTAAAATACCTGGCTACAATACAAGTGACCTATCATTCAAATCTGTGTCTGAATGTTTAGTGTCTGTGCATCAACACTGCTCCTCTAGAGATGGCCATCTCTTTGGAAACCTCAGACCTCTCAAATAACCTCTGTGAAATTTGTGTCAAGAGGGGCTTCAAACTTATGCTCAAATTTTGCAGCTGATGGTCATGCCTTTTGCTTGTTGTTTACCTCTTAAGGGTCATTATCTAGTTTTAATTCTTAAGGGGAGGAGCGACCCTTGATTTTGCAGATTTTGAGTCAGGCTATGCAAATTTTATATTAGCTGATTTTTTAACATCAACCAGTTTTTTGTCTAAAAATAGTATGGAGACAATTGAGAAAGTCTTTATTCTCCTCTTAAATTGCCTTTAAAAACATGAGGATGGGTTAATATTGTGAATTTTCACAGTAATTGTCGTTTTTGGCAAAATGTAATTTTTTTGCTTTTTTTCCCTACTCCTTCCTTAGCTTTCTTCCTTTTGACATGACACTTTCAGGAAACGTAGATGGCAAGGCTGCCATCAGTGTAACGGATAGATATTTGTGAAAAAAATAACTCTTTTCCATTGGCAAACGATTACGCAACCTAAATTGTTTTTAAAGTTTTTTATACTTTGGGAAAATTCTTATATTTTTTTTCTTTTCCACTTCTTGAAAAAAACTTACTGTTACTCTGATAGGATCTGGTTCAGGTATACTCTTACCAAATTTGGTCAAATTTGGTCAGTAAATAAGAAAACCTTAGGGATTTTAAATTCGTTGTTTATTTTCAAGATGGCGGTCGTTTCCATAGCAACTGCTGTAGCTGTGCCAAAATAAAATTGTGTATCAAGAGATTTTACTATGCCTAACTTATATGTGTACTTAGATTTGATCTCAGGCAGCTAACATAGAAAATGATCCTCAAGGGTAGCTCCTCCCGTTAATGCTTTATTGAATTTATTCTATTTATACATGGTGTTTTTGTTTCTTTTTCACCGTTTTATAAGTGTCCGATTCCCTTTGATGTAACATCACATAGAGCAGTACTTGGCAACCTAGGTGATGTCACCCACTAGTGGACAATTGGTCATTTTGGTGGGCAGTGGGGCTCATCCAGCTAGGGGCAGGTATTATTTAATGCCTTGTTTAAAAATACTCTTAGGTGGGCAGTACGAAAAGGTGCCCCTCTTCAAGGTGGCAAAAGTGGGCACTGGCTACAGAAATGCTGCCAATCACTGACTTAAAGTTTTAAACAGAGTCATGTAACTCTGACATTTCTTGTTCTCCAGACTGGGCTGAGCATCGCTGTCTTCATGATGATCACAGGAGCGGGGAACTGGCCCCTCCTATTAACCCAGTGGCTTCTCTATCACTCTCTGGTCAACGTAGGACAAAGGTGGTAAGTCTCAAGCAGTCCTACTTAGCTGGGACCACTCTTCCATTGTTCAAATATGTTTTGGTTTTTTTAAATACCTTTCAAGAAGAGAACAAGCCTTAACTTTTTTCTTGCAAATTTGGCATATTCAGAGAAATTTTCACTTCGACAGAATTTATCCACAGCCTTTCCTGATGTGTGACTGTCCTAGCAAAAATGTTGATGTCACTCAATGTTCTATATTCACCTTTTCCTATGCAAAACAAGCAAAAAAGGGACAAAGGCTGATTGGCTTGGTGGAAAAAGTAATTGGACTGAACTGACGGAAGAGCATCTGAATGGTATTGTTGAGAAATTAATCAGCTTGTTATAATGACATGTTTTGTATTGGTATCATAACATATGGAGCTGTCTCTGACATGTAAACTTTTTATGAGTTGATTCTGTTGTATTAGTCAACTTTTCAAGCACCTACAAATGCTGCACTTTTTACTTTCATCTTTTCAGACTTTACAAGTGCCTGTTTTAATTTTGGCTTTTTTTTTGTTTCAGGTTCTCATTCGGTGAGTGTCGCTGCTTTTATCACTAACTGCGAGGGAGCTATACATTTTTTTGTTGTGTAAAGATCAAGTGGATGACCATAGGGCAGGAATGAAGGAGAGGAGCTTACAATTATTTTCCTTTTGTCTTTATATAGTCTTATCTTGTTAAGGAAATCTAATACAAATTAGCTTTCTGATATCCTGCTGATGTTTTTTGGGGACAGATGTTTGATTTGAAAGGAGTACTCAGGTGTTGTTTGCTACTTCTTTCCTATCAAACATCTGTCATCATTGTCTCTCCTTTTTCTTTTCTTTGTACGTTACTTTCTTGAAACACCTCTGTTCTTTGGCGCATATATGACCTGATCGTATTGCAAGTGGGGAAAACTCCTACTAAAACTAAGCTGATGAGCACAAGCTAAAGAAGAACTTGTCTAATACTTTGGTATGAGGAGACTTCTGTGTCAGTTGTCGATGGCAGGCTGTACATAGTACTTGAGAAATTTCCGAGATGGCCACCCTTTGTCGAGGAGAAAAACAGTTGTTTTTGGCAAGGGGGCAAATGGGAAGTATCGTTTGTACAGGTGATTGTCTTATCCAGGTGGCCATTAGAGTAGGTTCAACCGTATTTTGATGTGGTCAGAGTATCCCCTTACTGTCTTACTGAGAATAATAATAATAATAATAAATAGCATTTGTATAGCGCATACCCCTGCTGGACAGCAAACTCTATGCCTTTGCACTATTGAACACGGGAAACTAATAAGATTCGTTTTACAATTAATTTGGAGGTGTTTTTTGTACCCCCCCTCCCCCCACGAACCATTCCTCAAAGTTCCCTTAGGTGTTGAGGAGAAAATTTCCCTGTGCTGCTGTACTGTAGTGTAAGACTGTCTGTTTTTGTTGTTTTTTTTTTGGTTCCCCCCCCCCCCCCCCCTCCCAGGTTGGGAGAGTCAACTTCTGGAGACGGGCTTCCTCACCGTGTTCCTGTGTCCGATGCTGTCACTGTCCGCAGTGCCTAGAGCCACGCCCCCCTCCAGGGTCGTCATCTTTGCCTACCGCTGGCTCATATTTCGGATTATGCTGGGAGCAGTGAGTGTCTGTGTTCTGTTTTCTCCTTGTTGCTCTGGTGATTACATCAGGTCTGCCAAGTACTCAGATAAAATTGGAAGAACCCCGATAGGATTTGCATAAAATCCTTTTTTTTTTCTTGAAATCTGTTTTACATTGATCACAAGCAACTTATCATAAATAGCATGAAAATACACAGGTTTGTTTGTATTTATTTGCAATGTCTACGCAACTTAGAGTAAATGAAGTGAAAATGCACAACTTTATTTGCATCCATTTGCATGTATTTGCACTACACATTTATTTACCATGATTGGTTCATAACATAATCTAAATCTACAATGGTTCTGAAGACTCCATTTTTTTTTCCCACTAATTTCCACTTTTTAGGGGATGATTCTGAGGAAAGCTTCTTTCCCTGGTCATGGGGTTGTTGGCAATTCTGTTACAGCGTTGATCTAGTTTGCTCTGGTAGCTCTAAGGGTTTGTTTTGTTTTTTATTAAACTTGTCTAGGATCAAATGGTAGAAGCTCATGTACTGCCTGGTCAATAGCACCTTCGGTTTTTGGATTGAGCGAATTTGAAATCTTGATAAAAAGAAAAAAGTGGGGGTTTTTTTAACTTTTTAAGACATTTTTCAAATATATATTTTGGTGTATGTTTGAGGATGGAAACTGTGATGCAACAGTTTGTTACCTTAGTCAACAAAATAGACAAAGAAAGTTAAACTGAGAGAAACTTAATATATTTATGATGTGCTACAGTGTAAAACAGGGTCCTTGTTGAGCAGTAAGGCATCAGACTTGCTATAGAAAGATTGGGAGTTTGAAGCTCTGTTCCTTTTTGTCTTATCTTTACCAATCGTAATCTCCGCCCTGCGTATTTGTCATTTCTTACAATCTTATTCTCAGGGCCTGATAAAGATCAGGGGAGATAAATGCTGGAGAAATCTGACTTGTATGAACTATCATTATGAGGTAAGTTATCTCCCTTAGTGTGATATTTCTTAATCTTCCGTGCATTTTACGGTAAGCTGTCATATATTTTGTTTCGAAAAATGCATATTCTTGGTATTCTAGTATTGCTCCTAAGTACTTGTCGATGCTAAAGAAAAAGGATAAACTTTCAAGTCCTGATTTACCAATAATAATGAGAACGTAGCCCAAAAGTTGATTGGAGGCCTTTACCAAACATTTTTAACATTATTGTTGCAGGTCTGCTTTGAGAAGCTTGAATTAATAAAATTCAGAAAATTGTTTTGTGGAGGAGGATTTGAAAAGCTAGGATTTATTGAGTGCCGAAAAATGTGTGTGTGTGGATGAGGGTTGGAAAAGTGTGTGTGGGTGAGGGTTTGAAAAGCTGGGATATATGGAGAGCTGAAAAGTGTCTGTGGAGAAGGGTGACTTGGCCAATGCCCACCATTTTGACCTGCCATGTTGGTAGAGTCTTTTGTTTTGTGGTTTGGAATAAGTTGGTAGCTGTGTACATGTTTGAAAAGTTGGCAGCTATGTACGTACCTGCACTTCAGCCAAACAAACACCAAAGCCTCTAACAAGTCAGTCATGTTTTCTACAGACGCAGCCCGTGCCAAACCCGATGAGCTACTTCATGCACCAGTCTCCAGAATTTTTCCACAAGTTTGAAGTTCTGTCCAACCATTTTGTGGAGCTCCTAGCCCCGTTTTTCTTGCCGCTGACACGTCGATGGTGCATGCTGGGAGGAGCCATACAGATTTTGTTTCAGGTTCGTGCTTGTCTAGCTCTTGTTTGTTCTATTTATAGACTTTGAATCTGTCTCTTGCTCAAGCGAGACGTTGGTGGGTGCCTCTGTATAGTTTGTTTCTTCTCTCCATCAAAAATATCTATTTTCCTTATCTCTCCTCCTTCTTTTTTTAAAATGTTGCTGTCTTTTCTTTGTATTTTACTCTCTAGTAATACCGCTTATCTTTGGCACTAATATGACCTAATTACTGTAAAACCTCTTACTGAAACTAGAACTGACGTCAGTGGTGTAGCAGTTAAGTGCTTTACCGTCACACACAGCTGACTCGAGTTCGATTCTTGTGTCAGGACAAAGTTTTACTGAGAATCTCGGTCTTTATTCTGGAATATTGTATTCTTCTCAGCCTGGTTGGCCCTGACAGGCAGGGTTGGTAGCCCACCTTCTAGATATTTTAAATTGTGCCTGTGGAGGTGTAAAAACACCCAGATTAAACAATTTTTTTAAAAACCCATTTCTCCTAAAAAAATTTGTCATTTTCTCTTGAGATGTTTTCTTCTGTTCATAGACTTTGAGTGTGTCTCTTGTACAAGAAAACAAAAGCTGCAGTGACAAATCCTTCTCTGCCCCCCCCCCCCCACACACACACACCACACACACACACACACACACACACACACACACACACACACACACACACACACACACACACACACACACACACACACACAGGTGGTGTTGATCATCAGCGGGAACCTGAGTTTCCTCAACTGGCTGACCATCCTCCCGAGCCTAGCATGTTTTGACGACCTCAGCGTGGCCTGGATGTTTTCTTCCGGCCCCGGCTCCGCCAAGGCCAGAGTTGTGGATCTCAGAAGAAAAGAAAAAAGTGGAAGTGGCCCAGCACCAAGCTTATGTAGGAGTTTTTTAAATTTTGTTATTAAGTCCTTCTTATATGGAGACAGTAGTTTTCATGTGTAGCCGACATTGTGTAAGACGGTTACCCATTGCCAAGGAGAAAAGTAGCCATTTTATTCAGGCAGGTCGTCTCAAGCAGTGTCTTTATAATGTTTGTAAAACTACAAGTAAGAAATGGCCGTTTTTACAGGTGATTGTCTTATTTTTGCTTTATTCGTAAGTGTACTGTATTTTGATGCAGTAGGAAGAATTTTTGTCACGTTTTGCCTTCTGGACTCTTGACTTCTGATTTGTAGTATATCTGACTTAGGTCTAATTGTTCGTAGATTATCTTAAAGCAAAAGGGGAACTCTTACTTCGGCCGAAAATTTACTCGGGAGTCAAATATGTAGATTTTCAAGTGATGCCATTTTCTTCAAGCTTAATTAACCTGTCTTTTTATCGTTTCATACTAATAAATCGTACAAACTCAATCGATCAATTTGACGTTTCTATGTCCATGAGACTAAAATACAAGAAGTAACTAATTTTGCCAGCTCGCCTCACATTTTCCTTAGTTATGTCAGCCCTGTGCTTGATAAGTGTTGTTGGCATTATCAGCTGGGACAAGTATTCTCTGTTTATCAGCTGGGATAAGTATTCTCTGTTGATCAGCTGGGATAAGTATTCTCTGTTTATCAGCTGGGATAAGTGTTCTAGGTATTATCAGCTGGGATAAGTATTCTCTGTATATCAACTGGGATAAGTATAAGTATTCTCAGTATTATCAGCTGGGATAAGTATTCTCTGTTTATCAGCTGGGATAAAAAGTATTCTCTGTTTATCAGATGGGATAAGAAATATTCTCTGTTTATCAGCCGGGATAAGTAAGCCTATTCTCTGTTTATCAGCTGGGATAAGAAGTATTCTCTGTTTATCAGCTAAGTATTCTCCGTATTTTTATCAGCTGGGATAAGTATTCTCGGTGTTTTCAGCTAGGACAATCCGCTCGGTGTTCAACATCAGCCTGGCTGTTCTCATTGCCTACCTGAGTGTCCCCGTGGTGCAGAATCTGCTGTCTCCCCGCCAGGCCATGAACACATCCTTCGACCCGCTCAGACTCGTCAACACCTACGGGGCGTTCGGCAGGTACTGCAGTCTAAGGGAGTGGAACTAGTTCAGTCAAAATTGTCCAAAATGACCACCCTTTGTCTAGGAAAAAAAAGATTGTCTTATATACGTGATGCTCTTGGACAGTGTCATTATAAGTTTGTTTGTTGTTGGGGGTTTTTTGGAGGGGTGGGGGTTGTAAGAGTTTTACAGCACTTGCAACACAAATAGGTCATTTAAGTGACAAGGATTAGAAGTGTCATTAGAGAGTAACGTAACATAAAAAGAAAAAAAGGAGGAGAGACAAGAATAACAGATGTTTGATAGGAAAGAAGAAGCATACCACACCTGAACACTCGTCAACCACCCGTTGGCCACAGTTGAAGTCTACAGATTTAGTGAGTGTCCTTTTGGAAAGGTTTCAAATAAAAGTGATCGTGTTGAAGAGCAGCCTTGTGAAGATTGATGACATGAATGGAAAATATCTTGAGAAATGTTCCTAGTCTCACTGCTTGTGGGTCTGCTGCAATATTGCCGGAAACATGAAAACTTCATACTGTCTTGATCAATGTAATGTTAGTTAAATTGTAGGGAGAGGGAGTGAGAAGAGAAAGGGGGGGGGGGGGGGTTAGAGGTTAACAATTGAAACTCATTTTTTGGGGTATTTTTGTGAAAAGCATTGAGCTCTTTCCTAGTGGGAACATGCTAAATAAATGTACATCATTATTATTATTGTTGTGATTGTTATCATCAATCAAATGATTTAATATTTCTCAATTTTTTCTCAGTGTGACAAAGAAAAGGACGGAGGTGATCTTCCAAGGAACCAGCAGCTCTGACCCTAGTTCCCCCAGTGCAGTCTGGGAAGAGTACCAGTTTAAGTGTAAGCCGGGGGATGTTTATCGCCGGCCTTGCCTCATATCCCCATACCACTATCGGCTCGACTGGCTCATGTGGTTCGCTGCTTTCCAAGTGAGTCATTTTGTCACCAGCTGAGCTGTTTGCTTAACCTTATTACTGTCAGTGGTAAACTTGCATTTGTCAGGGGAAAGTCTAAGGAACGAGGGTGCACTTTAGATGTTAGAAATGAGTACATATGGTAGATACAAAGACCAGAAAACTATGTGTGAGGCAGCGTGGTGAAATCAGGCGCTTGTCAAAATAATGAAATTGAAGAAACTGGCATTTTTCTGCTAGTTTGGCAATTTTTATGGAATATTTGTTTTTTGGCTTAACACCATTGTTGTCAAATTAAAATCACATTTCTAGGTGAATTTTTGCTGAAAAACATTGATTAAGGGCACCAAAAAATGTAAATTTTCAGTTTCCACGGACTATCAAGCTATGAAAATAACCAAACTTTGACGGCCATTTTCTCACTAATTCTACCTTTGAAACCAAGCGACCCCACTATCTGAAATCTCAAATATCTTGACTTGTATTCAAATAGATGGGTATTTCTATCACTTTTAGCAAAACAACTACAGAAGTTTTTTAAGATGATACCAATAACTCCAAATACCCAAAATTTGACGAGCGCCTGATTCCACCACTTCATGACACATATAGGCCTATTTGGAAAGCTCTTTGAAAAAGCTATAACGTACACGAAAAAAATTTACGAGTTTGACATTTCTCCCCTAAAATCTGCCAGAAATCTCGGAAACTGCCGAAGACCCGACAAAGCCATTTTCTCTGACTTGCAGAGTTGCGGCTGCTGGCGGTTCTATAATAACAGACAATCTTCTTCATTCCTCTGGCTCAAAAAGAGTTCAAGTAACTACAGGAGGTCCTTCTTTTCAAAATAAGTGCACGCTCATTAACCCCTTCACTGCCGACTATGAGCTACATAGCTGTGCCGGGGAAAATTGCTTCAATTACTACAAGCATCACATAGAGCCCCTAAACCAGAAACTCAATTGAAATCATTATCATCACTGTTACAGTCATTCATAATTTCGTCTAGAACTTCTGCAGCTAAAAAGGAAAGTCAGTAAACTGGTCTATTGGATGCCACTGCGAAAAGCAAAAAAAAAAAAATGTAAACACAACTCAGAGCGTCAACACTTCACTTCTTCAGAACAATGACAATGACGCTCAGATTCACGGGAGACTACTGTATTATCAATGAGGATTAGTCGTGACACAGTTTTGTCCCTTTAAAGAGTGGAAAATTATACTAAAAATGACTTCATCATAGGCCCGCCGAATCAGCGGGCACATGGCACAGGGAAGCACTTCTTGACCCACTGAATCTGTGGGCCGGGGCAGTGAAGGGGTTAAGTGTTTACATTTTTGGGGTTCGTGTAGACTGGTTTTGGAAACTGCCAATTTTATCAGCAATAACAGTCTTGTGGCATAGAAACTGCTGATCTCATCGGCACTTGCCAGTAATAGGGTTAACCTCTTAATTGCTTTGACGTTTCCATCGTTTACTTCTGCAACTCGCACCCCATTGTCACCCCATTGTCACATGTGAGGCATGCTGACTCAATGAGTTACGTCTCACAATCTATGAATGGAGATGTCTCCTGAAAATTGACACAACAAACTTGTAGAGTTTCAGTAAATACCATTTATAAAAATCTTAACTTGTCTTTTATCTTTTTATATAATAGATTGTACAATCCAACAAATGAATTTGACTTATGTGTTTGTTATAATGGGGCTGAAATCTGAGAAGTAATTCATTTTGTCAGCATGCCTCACATTTATCGACGGACACCAATACTTGAGCTTACCGAATGGTGAAGGGAAAAATGATTGCCATAAATTGTTTTGCTCAAACAATCAACCTACTTTGCTCTTTTTCTCAATTATCTCTTTTGCTAAAACAATTTTTTAAAATTTTGATTGTTTTTAAAAATAATTTCTTTTGCTTAAAAACTATTAAACTTATTATGGTCTTCTTTATCTTCTTTTTAGCTAGAACAAAATACTCTTTGCTCTTTTTACCTGTCTTTCTTTCACAAAAACAATTAAACCCACTTTGCTCTTCCTGCTACATTATCTTCTTTTGCTAAAAATAATATTATTAACCTCAATTTGCTCTTTTTTCTATATTTTCTTTCGCCAAAACAATTAAACTCACTTTGTTCTTTTGTTTCTCTCTGTTGTTTTGATCAGACTTACCAGCAGAACCCGTGGTTGCTTCATCTGGCAGCAAAACTTCTAGTCAACGACGAAGGTGTGGAGTCTCTTATAGCCCACAACCCATTCCATAACAGAGACCCTCCAAAGTAAGTCGTAATGATGATAATAATGTAGATCATTTTTATAGCGGCTACCCCCACCTGCACACAAGTCAAAGGGCTTTAAAGAAATCCTAGTACAAATAACAATAACAGTAAACTCGTACTCACACACACACACCCACACACATACACTCACACACACACTCACACACTCACACACACACACACACACGCACATACATACATACACTCACACGTGCTTATTCACGCATGCATGCACGTGCTCACGAGCGCATGCACACACACACACATACACACACACACACACATACACACACACACACACATACACACACACACACACACACACACACACACACATACACACACACGCACACCCACGTGTGTATACCTCATTACGAGTGAGGACATACAAAAACATATTTCTTAGGGTTTGTGATCTTGAGGCGGATACTGTAGTCAAACCTGTCCTAACCAGTCACCCAATGTCCAGGAGAAGAGAGAGAGAGACTAGATGAAAAGTGTAAACGAGTGATCCTTTTGGACAGTGTCATTTCAATATGAGAGGCATCGTGGTGAAATCTGGCACTCATCAAATGAATGAAATCAAAGGAATTGGAATTTTTTTAGCCGAAGAGCAATTTTTTCAAATTTTTTTTATTTGGCTCAACACCTTTTATGTCTTTTAAAAACACATTCTTGTGTGGATTTAACTGAAAAACATTGATGAAAGACACAAAAAATGTATATTTTCAGTTTCCAAGGATTCTGAGGCTATGAAAGTTACCAAACTTTGATGGCCGTTTTCTCGCTAATTTTACCTTTGAAACCAGACGACCCTGACCTCCTTCAATCTCAAATATTTTTACTTCTATTCAACATAGATGGGTATTTTTTTTTTATCAAAAGGAAGGCAAATGGACAGGCTTTCAGATGATACCAATAACCCCATATGCCAAAAAAATTGACTAGCGCCTGATTCCACCACGTCGTGACACATATATATAGAAAAAACTCGGGAGGGGGAGGGGAAGGGGATAAGAAGGGGTCCATTGTACAGATGATTGTCTATAGTATAGCAGTTAGGTGCTTTGCTGTCACAGGCACGACACCCAAGTTTGATTCCCGAATAAGAAGAAAATTCTTATGAAGTATCTCACTCTTCCCTCTAGGATCTTGTAACCCTCTCAGCCCAGATTGGCCCTGATAGGCAGGATCAGAAACCTTCCCACTAATTGATGATCTAAATTGTGTCAATGGGGGGGTCATAAAAACACACCTATATGTAACAAATTTTGTCGATGTAACCCGGCCTTTCTTCTTTCCCAGATTTGTGAGAGCGGAACACTGCAAGTACAGCTTCACCAAGATCGGTTCGGCTGAGGCCAAGAGTGGAGCATGGTGGAAAAGAAAGTTGGTGGGTTTATATCTTCCCCCGGTCTCTTTGGACATGCTTGGGAAGCTCATCTCAGACATGGGCTGGCCGCAACCCAAGAGGAAAATGAGGAAGCTGTGATAAAATTGATGAGGCGTCTCTCTCGCAGCTATGCTACAGCTACATTTGGACAAGATATGTGTGTCTCAACAAGGTGGAATCGGGCGCTCATAATTTTTGGGAATCTGGAATTATTGGTATCACCTTTAAGTCTTATCATGTTTGAAGCTTGTTCCTTTGTCTTGAGTTTAATGGGAAAAAATAACCCTTCTGTCTTGAATACAAGTCGAAATATTTGGGATTGAAAGAGATAGGGTTGCCTGATGTCAGAGGTGAAACTAAGCGAGAAAATGGTGGCCAAAGTGTGGTGGCTTCCAAAGCTTAAATATCCCTGGGAACGGCAAAAAATTACATTTTTGGGGCCTTTAATCAGTGATTTTCTTTAAAAACCACACAATAATGTATTTTAAGTGGGCATTTCAGGAGCTGAGCCCAAAAGCAAATATTTGAGGAAAATTGCCCAACAGATTGAAAAATGTCGAATTCTTTGATTTCATTAGTTTGACGAGCACTTGATTTCACCACGATGCCACACATATGTTTTTTGGGGGGGTTTTTGTAAGGTTTTACAGCGCTCGCCACTGCATAAGGTCATATGAGCACCAAGGAGTGGTGGATGTCAATACAGAAGTCTAAACATGGAATCAGGCTTACTCTGCTCACCTCTCTAGTCTCAACAGCACAAAGTCTGCTTCGACTATCAAGGCACCCCAGAAAAAGCAGTTCACAAGAGAGTGACAAACATACAAAAGAAGTAGAGGAAAAATGACAATAGTAAGGATATGGAAAGAAAAAGCAGCAGTTCCTTCTATGTTGTTCCGGCACAGTATGAGCCTGACATTGATAAACCAGCCCATTTACATTTCTACTGTGCAGAAGAACATGTTAATTAATTAATATCCCCCCCTTTGGGAATGGCCTAAAGACACTTCAGTCAGTAGCACTGCCCTGAGGGGGGTGGGGAGGACACATATGTTGGAATCTCTGCCTACATGACGTTAAAGATATATATATACATGCAGCTTTTCTCTCAGGGCTTGTATGTGTACCACTTTGATTTAGACCTACAAATAGAATGATTTTTTTTCTCTCCACATTTGTAAGTAGGAAATCAAGGTTTATTATTTGCAATCCTCAAGCCCATTTAAAAGGATTATAATTGTCTAACGTGGGCCGCTCACTGATAAGAACAAGAAGGAAGCGACAAATGCAGTTTCTAGGACGCTTGAATCAACATAAAGGCTTTGAACATCTTGCTCTCGCTGACAAAACAGCAGGCAAATGAGACAGAAATTTATCTTGGAAAACCCGAACAGTTAGGTGACAGGGAGGCACCAGGATGATACAGGTTTGGGGTTTTTTTAGCCTTCGAGCCAAGAAATGAATGAAGAACCATGATCACTAAAGTCTGTTTCAGATCTGGTGCTTTATGATGATAATTGTCTCTGACCATGATCAGCTTGAAAAAGTATGTCCAGTATAGTAGTTTGTGAAAGCACTTCCCCTGTTCACAATAAGCCTAAGAAGAAAAGAATAAACTATGGAAAGAGCACATTTTCTTGGACAGTTAATGTAACTTTCATATCTGCCATAATAATAAAATAATGGATTGCATTTATATAGAGCATATCCACTTATGCAATGCTCTATGCGCTTAACATGATACATATTATGGATTTACAAATCAATTTTAAAGGCACATAGTGTTACATACTCGTGCACACACATATTCATGTACGCACGCACCACACACTCATACACACATACATACACTCATACATACATACATACACACATACGTACATACGTACATATGCACATACGCACATACAAACTCACAACGATCTACAGCTTGGATGGATTCTGTCTAATCAAAATATGATGAAAATAGAAATGCTTTTAGTTTCTTCTAAAAAATTTCTAGATTTTCTGCTTCTCTGATAGTTTTTGGAAGCCTATTCCGAACAAGTGGGGCAAAATATGAAAAAGAGTGTTGGCTATATGATTTATAATTTATTTGAGGCTTAACAAGGGTTGTTTTGTCACTTAATGATCTGAGCGTTCTTGGAGGCACATAGGGTGTTAAAAACTGTTTTACATAGTCCGGTGATAAATCATGTAAGCACTTGTAGCAAGTTAAACAGATTTTATATGATACGCTCTTTCACCGGGAGCCAGTGTAATTCTTTAAAAATATGAGTCACATGATCATGCTTTAGTTTCTTAGTAATTATTTTGGCAGCAATATTTTGTACTCTTTGTAGTTGTTGTAACTTTTCATCAGGTACACCAGCCAGTAAGGAATTGCAATAATCAATCCTTGACAATATAAGTGATGTTATTAAAGTTTTGGTGACACCAACAGATAAATATTTTCTAATGCTCCCTCTTTTCTTCAGTTGGAGATATAGATTTCTACAAAGATTGGATACATGGGATATCATTGACATATCTTGATCTAGCACCACACCTAAATTTTTTATTTTAGTTTGGGCCTTATATAAATGTTGGACAAATCTTGTAATTGACTTTTTCAAATGACATTTCAAATTGTGAAGCGTAAAAGGACTTATGAACCGATTGTAAAAATGTGTGTAGTAAGACCTGCAGGCGTGGAGAATAGGTACAAGTTTGAGTTTGTGACAGGAGTGTGAGTGTGAAGTACAAGGGTCTGGGTTATCATATTATACGCTAAGATGGGAGGTAGTTCTGACCCTGGACAAGGAAATTTGTCCACAAAGAAAACATCATATGTCATTTTCCTTGTTTGCCACTGGTCTGGTTATAGTCAATACTTCCCTGAGTAGTTTTCATTTTTGTTTTTGTCTCAGCGATTCCATTTCTTCCCCACAGTGGCTGCTTACTTCTCTACAGTTTACAATTTCTTTTCCTTTCACGTCTAGTTAATGCATGGTTGGGACATGTCATGGTTTATAGTACAGGGATTGTGTGTGTATACAACTACACTTTATGTATGCTTACAGTGGCTCGTGGTGTTTCTTGATTGCATGAGGTTTCAACTGAACTTCGGGATTTGTCTCTACACTCAAGTGCCTTGTTCCCCACCACATTCCAAGAATCTCTATGTTTTACCCTGTATGTTTTTCATCTACAGTTGAAATTGTCCACGATTTTTAAAAAAATAATGTATTGATTTTGATGGTAGTGTAATAAACACCTACATTTTTTAAAATTTATGAAGAATGTTTTCAGTGTACTTCAGTTTCATCCGTGATTATACCATGGTTGGTATCTGTTTTTATCCCCCTTTTTGTTTCTTTTTATCCATCACCTTTTCCGGACTGTTAATGAATTATGTGCTGCCATGTTAATGCACTCTTTTCTGACTCAAACAAAATACTGTGCAGTCGAAGTTGTCCAAGACAGACACCTATTGTAGAGGAGAAAAGTGGTTGTCTTAGACAAGATTATCATAATATAGAAAAAACACAAGGGAGGAAGTGAGTAGTTGTAATTGTTTTGGCAGGTCATTGTCTTGAATGTCTTGGACATGTGATTGTCTTGGACATGTGATTGTCTTGGGCAGGTGGCCATTATAGTAGGTACAACTGTACATGTGACAGAAATATTCTTCCGCTACTTAAGTCTTGGGCCTTTCTACCATCAACGCTTTGCTTTTTAATTTTCTTCACAGCCTTGTTGACCTTTTCTTGACTACCTATACCATGCAGGGGAGCACTGATGTTTTGGCAATAGACAAAAAGAAAATTGAGTCCATTAGCATTGCTACATCTTGAAGAATCTTGTGGTAAAGCTCTGACATTCCGCGGCTCTCACACATTGGTTTCTTTCCATCAAGTTATCATTTGATTTGATCAGCATTTGTGGTGTAGCAGTTAGATGCTTCCTTCATTGTCGCACAGAGGAGACCCGAGTTCGATTTCAAAGTGGGGAGAAATTTTTATCAAGTTATTTCAGTCTTTGTGATCTAAATTGTGTTGATGGAGGTGTAAAAACACCTTCAGAGGTAAAATTCTATGCTGTGATAGATATGCATTTTTTTAAAACTGGGGGGTAAGAGGCAAGGCAAGCTTTCTCTAATGGATTCTATGTTGGCTCAATTGGTTTTTTTCCCTTCCTCTAGCCAACCTCCCCCCCCCCCCCCCAAAAAAAAAAACCCCGACTCTATCAGTGTTCCGAATTTCTCAGTAGGTCATCATGTTTGTGTTAAGTGTGATACTGCAGTTTTATAAATGTCGCGCAATGCTTGAAAAAATGTTTGAGGAGTTTGTCACGGGATGCTTGAAGGAATGTTTGGGGAGTTTATCACGGGATGCTTGAAGGAATGTTTGGGGAGTTTATCACGGGATGCTTGAAGGAATGTTTGGGGAGTTTACCACGGGATGCTTGAAGGAATGCTTAAGCAGTTTGTCACGGAATGTTTAAAGGAATGTTTGAGATTGAGGAGTTTCTTACTGGGAACTTGGGCCCTTACACTTACCATGTTGCTGGTATATTGTTTTATCTTGATTGTGTTTAAATGGCTCTTTTTGTTTCTTTCTCAATTTTTTTTTTTGCCCCCCAAAGTTTGCGCATCAGTGCATTACCTATGTTTTGTTCCTCGCTATATTTCATTGAATGGGTTATGATTTGTATGAAATCCATTCTTTTATGATTTGTTGCTCATACAGAATGGGAAATAAAAAAAAGACAACATAAAGACCTGCATTAATTTGTTCCTTTATTTCGGAATTGTCAGAATGAAGCACATTGTCACAGAATGTAAAATTTATAATGATAATATATATTGATAATTGCGTTTGTGAGGCATGCTGACAAAATGATTTACTGATCGCAGTCCACTAATGGAGATTCGGCTGAAAATCAGCTCTGAGATCAATTTTGTAGATTTTCAGTTAATGCCGTTTTTTTAAACATTATTTTATTATTTCGTTCTATTAGATTGTACAGCAGAACATGACTATAGCATATAGCGCACCCGATGCTGCGGGACCATCCTTACAGCGGAAACTTACCGGAATCCCCTTTTTTTTAGTCTATGTAAACTCAAGTAACTGAGTTTGGATTTAACGGTGCAAGGAAAGGTCCGAACTTGGATACAGCGGGAGAGATTGGGCGAGCTCAAGATGGGGGAAGGGGGTTGGGGGGGGGGGCTGTAGGTGGGCTCCAAACAGGCAGTCGGCGGTGTGATGGGCCAGTCCAGTGATGAGTGAGGTGAGGCAGGTGGCAGAGAGAGATGGTGCGGAGAGACACGTTACGTGAGCCACTCCAAAAGTGATGTGCCATAGCCTAGACGCCTAGGCCATAGCCCTAGTCTTAGGCTAGGCCAAAGAGACAGTAAAAGAAGAGGAGAGCGTGAAGTGTGTGATTTTTCGGTAATTCCCCTTAGCATTCCGAAAGTAGGAACTTGCCTTGCCTTCAGCGGGATTTTCCCTCTGGAAGTAAAAGTCCCACCATAGCCATGTCTTACTGTACAAACTCAACCTATAAATTTTATATGTCTATGTCCATAAATCTAAAATCCAAGAGGAAACTCATTTTGTCAACACGTCTGATATAATTTAT